CCCCAAAACCCCAAAACCCCAAAACCCCTTCAGATTAGATTAGACTTTAGAATTTTTGACCAATTATTTTGAAACAAATAAATAAAATTCTTAATTATTTTTAAATATGGAAAAGAAATATAGAGACTAATTTATTTGCCAAGGATGCAACAAATCTTTCAGTTAGGAAGATAAAAGCCATTAATCTGAATAAATTTGCACTTAATGTTATAAAACATAATAAAATAAAGTGGGAAAAGAGTAAATGCAGCAGCAATATATTTACTAGTAACTAGAAATTGCTTAAGGATTGAGAAGAAATAAATTGTAATTATTGAAAAAAACAGATTAAGATAGGAAATACGAAATAATTGCAAAAATTGGAAAGGGAGGCTAGGGATTAGTCCACAAAGCTAGTTATATAGATAAAAATAATAAAGAATAATTAGTAGCACTTAAGTAACAAGAACTTTCTAAGATAGCAACTAATGAAAAGGACCTAAATGAACAAATTTTAAGATTGGCTAGAGAAATATCAACGTTTGATCTTAGACATCCGAATATTGTCGAAGTCTAGGATGCATTTATTACTTTCGATTCAAGGTTAATAATAATAATAACTGAGCTAGCTGACAAAGATCTAAAATAATATTACGAAGAACAAAAGAATCTAAGTGAAGAAAAGAGTCTAAGTGCTTCAAAAATATCATTCATCCTATTGTAAATATTAGAATCATTAGATTATATTCATGACTTGGGAATAATTCACAGAGACATCTCTCCAGATAATATTCTAGTTTTTTAGGATAAAATGGCGTTTAAAATATGTGACTTCGGTCTCGCAACATATGGAGAATATACTGTTCTAGCAGCTGGAAAAGAAAAATACAAAGCTCCAGAAATTATTTATAAAAATCCTGGATATAATAATAAAGCTGATATATGGTGTCTTGGTATAGTACTCTACTATCTGATAACAGGCGAAGAAACTTATAAAAATGAAGCAATAAATTATAAAATAGATAACCAAAAACTCTTTGGTAACAACTATTTAGAGGGATAGATTATTTTACCAATTAAATACTCCTAATTCTAGAATATCTTTAACAGAATGATTGAATTATAGCCTGGAAAAAGACCTTGAATAAATGAAATGAAAGAAGAATTCAAGAAATTGCTTTAAAATCCTGAGACTGAATAATATGAAAAATATTAGGAGGAACTAATTATATACAGAATGCAATAGTTTGCTGAACAATAGCGATAACAGGCTGAGGAATTCAAAAAATACTTATAAGATCAATTAAAGAATAATACCTACAAGTTCATTTATAGTGATGCAATTCAAAAAGAGCTAAAGATACTAAAGGATGAAATTGTGTCATTTTAACTAGAAGTGGAGTCTTAGATTGAGGAGGAGAAAGCATAGCAACCAATCAGAGGATTAGATAAGTCAGAATAGTAAGAGAGACATTCGAATAATGTGATTTAAGAAGATAAGCCTTTAACAGAAGAGCAGCTAATTTTACATTAATCAAACTTCAGAAGATTGGTTGATACCCATTTGAAAAACAATGGAATTCTAAACTAGGAACTTCCCAAACTTTAAGGAGCAAGTAAATTATTGTATAAAGCATCAAGGGACGGATTTAGAGCAAAACACTTTCATGAAAAATGCGATAATCAAGGTCCTACTCTTACATTTATTATGAGTGAAATGGGCCAAGTTTTTGGCGGATACACATCATTAGACTGGAAATCTCCTGAGAATCTATATTAATAAGAGACAGATCCTAAAGCATATATATTCTCATTAACTTAGAATACACTGCACAAACAGTATTAAAACAATGACTACTCCATCTGCCATTTAAAACATCAGCATGTATAATTTGGTATGACAGATATACAAATTAGGGATAACTGCAATGAGAAGAAAAATAGCTTAAGTAACATTGGCAGCACTTATATGCCTCCAGAAGATATTGAATTAGGAACTACGAAATGTGAAAAGTATTTAGCAGGTGAAGAATAATTCAGAGTTTTGGATATTGAAGTTTATTCTGTAACAGTCGAATGATTATTGATCCTGATTTAGTGATTTAAAATCCCATTATTACGGAGATTTATCAACTTTTAATGCAATTTCTTTCTTTACTTTCAATAGATATGCATGGGGTTTTGGGGTTTTGGGGTTTTGGGG